TCGTTCTGTTTTCCCAGTTATAAGTAGGCATAGTGTTAACACCTCGTAAGGTGGCTGAGGACAGACTGAGTTTTCATACATGAAGGTGTTACTTTGTGTTCATCAAATCACAATGTTCTTTCCCATTATCACTAAACCACTTCACTGAGCCATCTCAGGAACTCGTTAGAAATGACATCTTACATTGTTCCGCAAACAACGTGTAGCTCTAATTTTGAAAAGCTAAGATCTGTGAATAGGAGAAGAGTGAAAGGAAACTAACAAGGGGATATGTTTCCCTCTAACAACTTTCTTCATTCACACAGAATATAGTAATATCACAGTATCTAAAGTAATACCTACGGTAATTGTTAATATTTACCAAACTTTGTGAACTTTCTGCAAACTATCAATCTATAAAATGTACAAATTTTTGCATGAAGTTGTGGGAATATTGTCTCTTTAGTTATTATAAAGTAATGATCATTTCCTTCCCATTCTCATGCTAGCCACACATAGCTATCCACACTCACAAAATATGGTGAAAATCTATAACTGAGCTCAAGAATAGATGTATTTGAAGCCAGACTTTAAGGAAAACATGGCAGGCAATTGCTCTCAAGAGGAAGTTATCACTGACTTATTAGAAAACAGGTGTTGCGATGTGGTCTTCCGGGATCTGATAGTTCCCTTATACCAGGACCATGATAAAATGACACTGTGACAGATCTTACCGAGAAGGACTTTCATGGGTTTAAAGCAAACCTCCCTCCCCCGTGCCTGCCTCAGCAGAGCAAGGGTTGTCACTGCATCCGCAGTCCTGACTCACACCCCTCGGCGTGTCCATTCTGACCAGTGACTGGCAATGCCAACCCTGTGGATTGTCGTTGTGTCGGTGGCTTGGGTTTGTAGGTTAACTTTCCACCTTTCTTATCTTTTCGTTGTTGTTATCTCCAGAGTCCACTTTTCCAAGCGCTTTGAATTCTCTCCCTTGCTTTTCAGGTGGAGACACCAAAATGAGAATATCTCAAGATCAACTCTCCTTTATCCGAAGACCAAACAGAACTGTGCACATAAGCTGCAAGCTGTCTGGGGTTCCCCTGGAGAACGCCATTGTGCACTGGTACCAACAAAAAAACGGGGAGCCCTTGAGGCGAATCCTTTATGGCTCAACCAAGAATAGCAAGGACAACAAGCTCAATCCCCGCTTGGAGGCATACAGGAAAGATGGAACCTTTAACCTGATCATCAATAATGTCGTCAAGTCTGATGAAGCCATCTACTACTGTGCCTGCTGGGATCTCACAATGTCACAGAGTCACAAGGGACCTGTAAGAAAACCGTATCTATTACTAACCCTCAGCTCCTGTCACGCTGGAGTAACCACAACACACTGCTTCAACCTCTTACTCGTAAGTTCACAAACTATTGAGACAGGGGGCTCTCAGGACACAGTCAGCACAAATCCCACTTGAGCTTAGGAGGCTGGGGCTGGCTTAGAGAGGGCAAGCAACTTGTCCAACACTAGTTAACCACAGAGCCAGGGCTCCACTTGCATTTCATGTTTGGTCCAGCGCAGTGGTCGGCAAACTCATGAGTCAACAGAGCCAAATATCAACAGTACAACGATTGAAATTTCTTTTGAGATTCAAGTTTTTTAAACTTAAACTCTACAGGTAGGTACATTGTTATTAACTGAATTAGGGTACTCCTAAGGCTTAGGAAGAGACACACACAAGGGGCCAAAGAGCCGCATGTGGCTCACGAGCCGCAGTTTGCCAACCACGGGTCTAGGGCCTTTCCTGCCTCTCTTATGGTCAGTGTTGAACTTCTTTTAGCAAAATTGTATTTCTTTCCAAAGAAGCTTAAACCATGTCTTCAGAAGTGACATCCCCAGAATATGGTAAGGTCTGATATGTAGGCAAAGTGTGTGACTTTACACTGTCTGGAAGGGATAATGTCAGCAGGGGATAGACTCCAAGCTCCCTCTATCTCCATGCTTTTCTTCCATGGCTACTTACTCTCCTTTACTTCTGTAGTTTCCTATTAGCTCTGAAATTCCCAATAATTAGAAAGTTTCCCTGGCATACACATCCAATATATGCGTACGTGGGAACCAGAGCTTTGTTTTTCATTCATGTATTTGTAAATCTTCACCAGTTACAGAACATCCTGTTGAACCAAGGTTCAAATTCCCTGCTTTTCACTCTGATGCCTGATACCTATCCTAAGTTTATGGTCATGCACTTGGTTCCTAATTTGATAGCCCTGGCCTATTTTCCTCATTGTTAATGTGATGCAGGACATTTTCGTGTCCAAGGTCTTACCAGCCACACCTTGAAAATAATAAGAGCAACAGTAGTAACAACAATCTATGCTATTACCTTACAGCTGAAAACCTTTCTCCTCGGATGTCTAAGTATCCAGAACAAAGTTATTGATTCCAATTTCACTCCCATTTCACTTCCTTACCCCAATGCCCACATTTTGCATTATTTTTTCTCCCCAAACTTTACTGTCTCAGTAAAAGACAAAGGCATATTGTGTCAATGAACACAATGGCAAGGATATTTTGTCAAACAGCTGGTGTTTTCTTGATTTTTCCACATATTTTGCTTCCTCTGGTAATGAGAGAAAAATAAATGAGGAAACCTGTGTATTCTTTAGGCATTTCCATAATATGAGATCTGAGGGGGAAAAAAGACACAGGTGACCCTGGGAGCCATGGTTTCATTGGCCAGAAAGTAAATCACAAACCAAACCAATCCCATGGGACACCCCCTGAGACTAGATTGGGCTGCCCAGACAGGGTGCCCAACCAAAACTCTTAGATCCAATACAGAGAACTCCCACTGTTTCCTCTCTAACTTAATGCAAGTTTAGAAACTCCTTTTTTTCCTTACTTGCACATGTAGAGTAACCAGCATATAGTTGTTCATATTGTCTTTTATATTATCATCAAATCTAAAAAAGTGATGTAAAACTTCAAGTAATTCCATTGAAACTTGTGGTTTACTTCACTTGACTTGCTTATTATTTATATATTTATTTATTCCCTACTGTTTTTGAAGTAGAATTTTAGTTACCTCATCTAGTCACCTCAAAATATGGCGAGTTGTGTATGTGTGCATGCGTATATGTGTATTACATAAAAGAGAGTTAGAAGCCTAAAGTACTGATTTTTGTACACAGGACTAAGTTGTTTCCATACTTTCTTAGAAAGTGAATTCCTGTGGTTGACCTTTTGTCTCACCTATTTTAAAAACATTATACAAAAGTTTTGAGAAATTGATATTATCATCTCCATTTTAAAGATGAGGACACTGAGGCTCTAAGAAGGGCCTAAGGACACATCACCAAAAGTGGAAGATCTGTAATTTGAACCTGTTCTTTCTGATGTCTTTTTCTTCACTTTCAACTTCCTTAAAGGTAATTTGATATATCTCACGTGAATCCTTTTGCAACTCTAATAAACCTATTACTATTAATTGCATCAACCCTCTGTCCATCCCCACTGTCACTATAATAACACTAGGTGTCCAGTGCATGAATTCGTGCTCCTTGAAGGGAACTGTGGGCCAGTTACATAAAAGAGAGTTAGACGCAAAAAGTACTGGTTTTTTACACAAGACTAAGTTGTTTCCATACTTTCTTAGAAAGTTAATTCCTGTGGTTGACCTTTTGCCTCACCTATTTTAAAAACATTATACAAAAGTTTTGAGAAATTGATATTATCATCTCCATTTTAAAGATGAGGACACTGAGGCTCTAAGAAGGGCCTAAGGACACATCACCAAAAGTGGAAGATCTGTAATTTGAACCTGTTCTTTTTGATGTCTTTTTCTTCACTTTCAACTTCCTTAGTGGTAATTTGATATATCTCATGTGAATCCTTTTGCAA